GAAGGTTGCAGTGAGCCAAGATTGCACCACTGAACCCCAGCCTGGGTGACAGAAAGGAGACTGTCTCAAAATAAATAAAAAGAAAACTGGGCTCTATTCCCAAAAGATGGGCAGGTGGGAATTCATAGACAAGAGCAGGGTGGGCCAATGGATGGAAAGTTATTAAGAGAAAAGAAACATCCAGCGTAAAGGGGATTTTCGCTATATCCACATGACAAGTTTCTTGCTAAAAATAGGGTCAGAGCGATCAGACACCTAGAGAATGGTGGTGTTACCAGAAGGCAGCTCTTGAGTGTCAGATGTCCAGGTTCTTGGTGTGTTGAACAAAGAATTGAACAAAACACACGGAGTAACAAAGCAATGAAACAGCAAAAGCCTGGATTTTTTTTTTGTTTGTTTGTTTTTTTGTTTTTGAGGCAAAGTCTTGCTCTGTCACCCAGGCTGGAGTGCGATTGTGTGATTTCATAGCAAACTTCACCTCCGAGGTTCAATTGATTCCCATGTCTCAGCCTCCTGAGTAGCTGGGATTACAGGCACATGCCACCATGCCCAGCTAATTTTTGTATTTTTAGGAGAGACAGGGTTTCGCCATGTTGGCCAGGCTAGTTTCAAATTCCTGACCTCAAGTGATCTGCCCACCTCGGCCTCCCAAAGTGCTGGGATTACAGGTGTGAGCCACCATGCTTAGCCGAAAGCAGAGATTTACCGAAGCAAGAAAGCCTTCCACCGGGTGGAAGTGGGTCTAAGCAAGCAGCTCAAAGGCCTGTTCACTAAGTTTTTTGGAGTCCTTATTGGCTACCCCTTATCTGGATGGAGGATTTGGCCCCTGGCTAATTAAAGGCTGAGATGAATTGGCCATGGCCAAACAGAGGCCGGAGCAGATTGGTGGCCTACACAGATGAAAGGGATGGCCCCTGCTTGGGCCGCAGCTACTCCAAGGCACTTCCCCTTTCCACGTGAGATGTCGTGGAAAGGGGAAGATTGTAGAGAGAGTAGCCTTTGATCTTTGAGCCTTTGATCTTAGAAAGATGGGTTTTTTTCCTTTTGGTTTAGCATCAGAAGGTTTGAATTAATTGGCCTTAGATTACTGTGGTGTTCGCGCCAAGGGCTCGAGACAGCTAGTTGACTCGCCCCAGTTTGGCTGCTGGACCTGTACTGCATTTCCCCACCTCAAGGGCTGTCGAGTGAGACAGGACCGTGAGCTGACTCACTCAAAGCAACAACAGAATGCAAAGCAAAGGCCTGCAGTTTATGAGGACATTGTGCTGTCTGCTTCCATGTCCCCCTTCAGTCTCTGTGTAAGCAATAAACTTGCTGCAATTGAGATGCCTGAGAGGAGCAGAGACCTCTGCCCGTATTTTCCCTGGAGCCAAGCCTTTGTTTTAGCTCCTGGTGAAAAACAGGTTTAACCAGCCACCTTAAGGGCGCCATTGTATCTTTGAAATGTAAAATCTTTGAAATGTAAACTACTACCACTAGCCCCCTTAAACTGCCTTCTGTGCGGATATCACAAGCCCCTGATAACTATTTTTTATGGAGTTTCTGTTTCCTTTCTGTCTACCCCTTTCTTTCTTTCTGCTGAGATAAAGTAAATGTAAACAAGAAAAAAGGTATAAAAGCTGTAACCCACAAAAATAAATTTGCTGCGTTTTGGCCATAATCTTCACGCAGCCCTCCAGACTCTACTTTTCTATATTCTTTCTTTTCTGCTCACTCTCTCTCTCAGGTTGAACGAGACATCTACGTTGGCGGTCTCGGGGACTCCCGCAGGTCGGTAGTCCCCCAGCAGACGTGCTGGACCCCGACAGATTACCTGGCTGAAGCCCCAGGTGTTTTTCTTTGATTTAACTTTACGGAATTATCATTAACTGGCTTTAGGTTTTCTGACCTCAGATCTTTGTTTTCTCTTTTAGGAAGTTGGCTTCAATTGGCGTTAAGTTCTCCAGACCCTATTCTCCTGCCTCAGTGGAGTATGAGGAACTCAATTAAATGTTGAGAGTGATCAACTAATTTGGTGGGGTGGGAGAGATTCTAAATAACCTGGCTACTAAGTAGAGTTCTTGCTAAAACTGGGTTTTACCTAGAGGTGCACAGATGGGCCTAAGAGAAGGTTCAGGAGACTGACTAATGTTTGATCAAGTGGCCAGGAATGGTGGCTCTCACCTGTAATCTCAGCACTTTGGCAGACGAACAGGACAGACAGGAGGATGGCTTGAGACCAGGCTGGGAAACATAGTGAGCCCCTGTCTCTGCAAAAATTAAACAAAATGAGCGGGGTATGGTGGTGTGTGCCTGTAGTCCCAGCTACTCTGGAGGCTGACAGGGGAGAATGGCTTGAGCCCAGGAGTTTGAAGCTGCAGGGAGTCATGCTCATGCCACTGCACTCCAGTCTGGGCAAGAGAGGGAGACCCTGTCTCAATAAATAAATAAATTAAACTTTGGTCAAGCAAAGAATCTTTGTCACTAGTATGTGACAATAGAATCAGGATTCTAATTATGACCTTATTAATGAAAAAAATCAGACTCTGTAAACTATATTAGGGGGATTTATGCTGAGCCATTATGGGTCACCATGGCAGGGGAACACAGTCTCTCGTCCTGAGAAAGTGCCCCATGACACTCAGATTGGTTTTGTAAAATATATGGTTTTGTACATTTCAGAAGCTACAGGCAAAGAAGGCATGAATTCCATATATTTATGGAAGATATACATACATTGGTTCTGTTACCGGAAAGGGGTCCCAATCTAGACCCCAAGAGAGGGTCCTTGAATCTTATGCAACAAAGAATTTGGGGTGAGTCCATAGAATAAAATAAAAACAAGTTTATTACAAAAGTAAAGAAATAAAAGAATGGCTACTTCCAATAAAAAATTAAAAAGAATGGCTACTCCACAGGCAGAGCATCCCCAAGGGCCTCTGGTTGGCTAATTTTTGTTTGTTTGTTTTTTGAGAAGAACTCTTACTCTGTCGCCCAGGCTGGAGTGCAGTGGTGTGATCTTGGCTCACTGCAACCTCTGCTTTCCGGTTCAAGCAATTCTTCTGCCTCAGTCTTCCGAGTAGCTGGGATTACAGGTGTGCGCCACCATGCCTAACTAATTTTTGCATTTTTAGTAGAGACGGTGTTTCACCATATTGGCCACGCGAACTCCTGACCTTGTGATCCACCTGCCTCAGCCTCCCAGAGTGCTGGGATTACAGGCATGAGCCATCGCCCCCCTGGTTGGCTATTTTTATGGTTATTTCTTGATTATATGCTAAACAAGTGGTGGATTATTCATGAGTTTTCTGGGAAAGGGGTGGGCAATTCCCAGAACTGAAAGTTGCTACCCTTTATAGACCATATAGGGTAACTTCCTGACATTGCTATGGCATCTGTACACTGTCATGGTGCTGGTGGGAGTGTCTTTTAGCATGCCAATGCATTATAATTAGTGTATAAGGAGCAGTGAGGATGACGAGAGGTCACTTTTGTTGCCATCTTGGTTTTGGTGGGTTTTGGTTGGCTTCTTGTATCACAATCTGTTTCATCATTAAGGACTTCGTGACCTATATCTTGTGCTGACCTCCTGTCTCACCTTGTGACTTAGACTGCCTTAACCTCCTGAAAATGCACCCCAATAGGTCTCAGCCTTATTTCACCCAGCTCTTACTCAAGATGGAGTTGCTCTGACAGTTCTGCTCCAAAAGGTGGGATATCTTGAAGTGGGAGCCTACAAGTCATAGGTGGGCTATACAGAGGTTAACTTGCAATTGGTTAAAGGAGTGAAGCTTTGTCTAAAACTGTGGAGTCAGCAGAAAGGGATTTTTTTTCTTTGAGATGAAGTCTCGCCCTGTTGCCCAGGCTGGAGTGCAATGGCACAATCTCGGCTCACTGCAATCTCCGCCTCTTGGGTTCAAGTAATTCTCCTGCATCAGCCACCCTAGTAGCTGGGATTACAAGCACGTGCCACACGCCCACCTAATTTTTTTTTTTTTTATCTTTAGTAGATACGAGGTTTCACCATGTTGGCCAGGCTGTTCTCAAACTCCTGACCTCATGATCCACCCCCCTTGGCCTCCCAAAGTGCTGGGATTATAGGTGTGAGTCACCGCGCCCAGCACGGGATGTTTTAAGATAAGGAAGTCTGTTACCCAGTACACTGAGGCAGAGTGACCTGTAAGGGTGTGTGACTTAACCCTCCTCAGGCATGGCCTTAGGTCCTGTTTATGATGTCTATTTTAACATGAATGCTGGTCAGTTGAGCCTAAACTCCAAAAGTGAGGGGGTATTAGGAGGCCTCTCTGACCTCCCTTCCCATATGGCTTAGAGCACAATTTTTAAGATTTTTCTGGGGTTCTCTTGGCCAAGAGGAGTTCCATTCAGTGTGTGAGGGGCTTACGATTTTATTTTTAGTTTACAACCCAGAAGGGTCCCCATACTCTTATCTATGTGCTAATTTTTCTGTTTTTTGTCTTTTTTATAGGGATGGGGTCTTGCCATATTGCCCAGGCTGGTCTTGAACTCCTGAGCTCAAATGATCTGCCTGCCTCAATCTCCCACTGTGCTGGGATCACCGGAGTGAGCCATCAGGCCCGGCTTCTATGTGCTAATTTTTGAACAAATTCCAAGTAATAGGAGATTCTAATCTCTGGGGTGAAATGACCAAAAATCAAGTCCTTGTGAGGCTGAATAGAGTCTGGAGGCAGGGAACCTAAAGCTGTTTCATGCTGACTTCCTATAACTAAAATGAAAGGAAAACCCTAACTTTCCATCCCTAAATAACAAAAGGATCAGAGGCTACTCCCTTTGACCTTTTCTGCCTGGCTGGGAAATTGGACGTCTGCAAAAAATCAGACTGATGGCTGGTTGAGTCTTCGTTTGCATAGAAGTATAACTTTGTAACTTCACCCTAGCTTTGATTGGTTGTTTTTTTGCAACCAATCAGATGTTTGCATAGGAGTGTGACCTTTGTAACTTCAGCCTCTGGTTGGCTGCTTTCTCCAACCAATCAGACTGATTGCGGGCTACCACTTTATTTACGTGAGGCGAGCAGGAAGTGGCCAATGGGAAACTTCTAGAGGGTATTTGGACCCATGAAGATTCTCTATCAGAGCTCTTGAGGTGCTGCTTGGTCAGTTTCCGCATTGCGAAGTATACTTCCGTTTTCAACAAATTCCTGCTTTTGTTCTTTTGTTGCTTTATTCTTTCTTTGCTTTGCTGGGCGTTTTGTCCAGTTCTTTGTTCAGAACGCCAAATGATCTGCCTGCCTCAATCTCCCACTGTGCTGGGATCACTGCAAGTGGACAACTTGCAGTCACCCTCTACCGGTGACACTCCCTCTTTGGGGAGACAAATAGCTTTTCCTCTCTGCTCTGGTTTGGTAGCAGCCATAAACTCAGGTGGGCCCAGAATCCGAGGCCCCGCCCGTTATGTGCTTCTAGCCTCTGCGCGTGCGCATGCCGGCCGCCATGTTAACCGCGAGCTCTAGCTGGCGTCTGCGGTAAGTTTTCGTTCTTGGGAGGTGTCGCGTCCTGTCCAGATGCGGCCACGCGGGAGTAGGAGGATCCAAAGGGGAGGCGCCCAGTGAAATGCAGCCTGCCCGGTGCACAGTCGGGCAGCTCGGGCACCCTGTGGGCGCTCCCAGGGCGCGGCCCTCCTCTGAGAGCCCGGGTTGGATCTCTCCGCAGGGGTCTGGGCGGCAGTTTTGGAGCCTCGGCCCAGGAGGAGGCGCGGGGCGGGCACGGTCTTTCAGTTCTTCCTGCTCTTCTCTGTGGAAGTCTCGTAGAGCGGGGCGCGGCGGCTCAGTCCTGTCATCGCAGCGCTTTGGGAGGCTGAGGTGGGAGAATCACTTGAGGCTAGAGTTCAAGACCAGCCTGGGCAACATAAGGGGACCCACATCTCTAACCAAAACAAAAAACCTCCACAGCCAGCGTTGTGCCTTTTCTCCAGAAGGGGCAGCACCTCTGCCTTCCTCTTGATGGTGCCTTTCGCTTGGCGTCCTCCTGCCCTGGCAGTTCCGTCGTGTCTCAGTGAGCACTTCATGCTTTTGTTCTGGCTTGTGGGTGTCGGGTCTTACGTTCTATCAGGTGGAAAGAAACCTTTTCAGGTTGTTCGGGAGCACATGAATCTGATATAATCGAATGCGTGAGTGGATGAATACAGATAAATGTACAATTTGCCACCGAGGAAAAGGAGGACTGCTTAGCTGTGGTTCCAGGCCATCACCTAGATCTCACCTTAGCGCCCTGTAGATTTCCCCCCAGAGCCTCAAAGTAGGAGGGCTTCCCTAGAACACTCTGCAGGCTGATTTACTAGCAGGAGGGATTGAATTGATAATGAGTGCGAAGATAACTTTTGACAGGTGGGTTTTCTCTCAGGTGCTCATTTAAAAGTCCTACCTAGGGCGGGCCGGGATGCCTCACACCTGTAATCCCAGCGCTTTGGGAGCCCGAGGAAGGAGGATCGCTGGAGTTTAGGAGTTAGAGGCCAACCTAGAAAAAAATAGGGCAAACCCCTGTCTCTACTAAAAACAAAAATTACCCAGGCGTGGTGGTGGTGTGTGTCTGTGTGTCTGTAGTCCCAGCCACTTTGGAGGCTGATGTGGGACGATCACTTGAGCCTGGGAGGTTGAGGCTGCATGCAGTGAGCTGTGATTGCACCACTGCACCCCAGCTTGGGTGACAGAGTGTAGATCCTGTCTCAAAAAGAAAAAAAAAAAGTACTGATCTAGAGAAAGTCTGTAGCTCGATTTAATCTTTAACTTACATTCACCAGTTCTTAAGAATTTCTTTCATTTGTTTTCGATATATACTTTATGATGAGCCATTTAAATTGGAAGTGAATGCACTTTCCCCTTTAATCTTAAGCATATATCTCCTATACCTTCTACAAGTGAAGACAATCTTCTACCAAACAGAAAACAACAAGACTTCATTTTCCATCCCCACCCCCAGCATCATATCTGGGTACAAACAACCCAGGGTCACATTTCCGTGGAAACAATAAATGTGGGTAGGTGTGGAATGTTGTTAGAAATCTTTTATTTGAAACTCAGCACCTGGGTTGTAAATTGGTAATTCTTCTTGGCGTAAAAACATTACAGAAACCCTCCAGGCAAAAGTGAGATATTTCAATCTTTCTGATATTTCTTACTGATACGGTTTCAAACAGTAAATTTCTAATGACTGATTTAAGAGAACAGAGTTTCACAGTGAGTAAAATAGCAACAGTAACTCAAGTCATTAGAACGGCTTTGTTCCTTTTGTGATAGCTACATCTTTTTTTGTTTTTGTTTTTTTGGATTTTAAGTTTTAAACTTCTTTTTTCATTCCTATGCTTACTCAATACAGCCTTTTTTTTTCTTTCTTTCTCTGAGACGGAGTCTCGATCTGTCCCCAGGCTGGAGTGCAGTGGCATGATCTCGGCTCACAGCAACCTCCGACTCCCGGGTTCAAGTGATTCTACTGCCTCAGCCTCCCTAGTAGCTGAGAATACAGGTGGGTGCCACCACACCCAGCTAGTTTTTGTTTTTTTATTAGAGACGGGGTTTCACCTTGTTGGCCAGAATGATCTCAATCTCCTGACCTCATGATCCACCTGCCTCAGCCTCCCAAATTGCTGGGATTACAGGTGTGAGTCACTGCGCCCGGCCCCAATATAACTTCTTAAAAATTATGGTTTATTATTAAATGAAAGTTGCCAGGGAATTAAAAATAAAATTTTATTTTAAAAAAGGTAAATTATGGTTTATTTCTGTTTCATGAATAGCCTTGAGTATATGTGGCACCGTATTTTTTAATTTTTTAATATTTATATACAATATGATCGGTTGATTTTTGTATTTAGTTTGAGAGTCTTTGTTTCTCACATTTAATGTGTTATCTCTTTCCCTACTGTAAAGTTAATATACTCTGTGTAATTGAAAAGTTTCTAATAGGGAGATATTTAAGGATTATGCAAGTATTCTGTTTCCATCCTACTATATGCCCACTAATTTTAGTTTCCATTGATAATTATTACCTGTAATACTTACTGTGCTATATGTCCAAATTATGAGATTCTGTCCCAGTCATATCTTTTATATTTGTTAATTGGAATTCTGAAAAAAAAAAAAAAAAAAAAAAAAAAAACTTCTCTTTCTCCTCCATTTATTAAATTACTTGACATCAGTATAGGCCAGTGGCTTTTTCCACTGTTTATTTTCTTGCTCAGACTGTCTCAGACTTGGTTATTGGGAATTCCCTTAAGTTGCTTTCTGCATACTTTCTGACATCTTCCCATCAGTTTTGGAGAATTTCTTTACTTTCTGGCAGTGTCGAGACTCATTTTGTACTTCCCTTGCTCTTGCCCTGGAATTGATCTCTGGGGAACTCTGCTTCCTTTTTTATTGGAGAATGAAACTTAAAAACCAAGATCTGGGCATTAGGTGTGCCTGTTTCTTCCCGGTCCTGAGAGTGGACACATCTGGGAGATGTTTGTGTCTGTACACACACCAAAACGTTTATATCTATCTTTCTATATACTCCTAAACCATGATGTATCTAATAGGTATTGGGGTTTCAGTTTTGCAAGATGAAAAGGGTGGATGGTGGTGATAACTGTACAGACATGTACTTAATGCTACTGAACTATACACTTGAAAAGGGTTAAGATGTTAAATATTCTGTGTATTTTACCACAATGAAGAAAATAATTTACAGAAAAAAACATGATATCGTATGCATAGCTCAGATTTTAGTCTATTTCTGAAGACTGTGTCATTGGAATTTTGATAGGAGTTACATGGAATCTGTTGATCACTTTTGGTGCTATGGACATTTTAGTATTCCTCCTAGGCACGAACACTGGCTATCTTTCTGTTTATGTCTTTCTCAGATTTTTTTTTTTTTTTAATCGGTGTTTATCGTTTTCAGATCTTTTACCTTGGGTAAATTTATTTCTGAGTATTTTTAATTTTTTTTTTTTTTTCTTTTTAAGACAGGGTTTCACCGTGTTGGCCAGGGTGGTCTTGATGATCATCGTGATCCACCTGCCTCGGCCTCCTGAAGTGCTGGGATTACAGGCGTGAGCCACCGCGCCCGGCCTTTAATGACTTTTTAATGGAATTATTAATTTCTGTTTTGGATACTTTATGTATAGAAATACAACTTTTTTTTTTTTTTTTTTAAGTAGAGATGGGGTTCCACCAGGTTGGCCAGGCTAGTCTCAAATTCCTGACAGGTGATCTGCCCACCTCAGCCCCCCCAAAGTGCTGAGATTACAGGCATGAGCCACCACACCTAGGCTTTTTGGTTTTTTATGCAGTCTCACTCTGTCACCCAGGCCAGAGTGCAGTGGTGCAATGTTGGCTCACTGCAATCTCTGCCTTCTGGGTTCAAGTGATTCTCCTGTCTCAGCCTCCTGAGTAGCTGGGATTATAGACGACCGCCACCACACCCAGCTAATTTCTGTATTTTTAGTAGAGGTGTGGTTTCACCATGTTGGTCAGGCTGGTCTCCAACTCCTGACCTCGTGTTCCACCTGCCTCGGCCTCCCTATATGCTAGGATTAGCCTGGCAGAAACTAGCATATAAAAATCAAAAAACAACTGATTTTTATAGGTTAATTTTGTATCCTGCAACAAAAAGTAAATTTGCTTAGTTGTTCTAACAGTTTTTGGTGCAGTTTTTTGGGTTTTCTCTATGTAAGATCATGTCATCTGCAAACATTTTTTTCATCCCTTCCAAATTGGATGCCTTATCTCTGTCTCTCTGTCTCTCTCTCCCTCCCTCCCTCCCTCCCTCCCTCCCTCTCCCTCACTCTCCCTCCCTCCCCCTCTCTCTCTGTCTCTCTCTCTCTCTGTCTCTCTCTCTCTGTCTCTCTCTCTCTCTGTCTCTCGTCTGTCTCTGTCTCTCGTGTACTGTGTTGAATATAAGTAGTTGCATTGCACCATACCCAGCTAATTTTTTGTATTTTTAGTAGAGTCGGGGTTTCACCATGTTGACCAGGATGGTCTCTATCTCTTGACCTCGTGATCCACCTGCCTCGGCCTCCCAAAGTGCTGGGATTACAGGTGTGAGCCACCACGCCCAACCTTAGTCTTAACAAATTTAAGAAGACTGAAATCATAAAAACCGTATTTTTTGAAAATAATGGTATGAAACTAGAAATCAGTAACAGGCTGAAAACTGAAAAATTCACAAACAGGTGGAAATTAACCAATATGTTCTTGAACAACCAAGGATCAAGGAATAAATTAAAATAGAAAACTGATAATTATCTGGAGACAAACAGAAACAGAAACTTGACATACCAAAATTTACAGGATGCTGTTAAAAGAAGTGTTACGAGGGGCCGGGTGCGGTGGCTCACGCCTGTAATCCCAGCACTTTGGGAGGCCAAGGCGGGTGGGTCACGAGGTCAAGAGATCGAAACCATCCTGGTCAACATGGTGAAACCCCGTCTCTACTAAAAATACAAAAATTAGCTGGGCATGGGGGCGCGTGCCTGTAGTCCCAGCTACTCGGGAGGCTGAGGCAGGAGAATAGCTTGAACCCAGGAGGCGGAGGTTGCCGTGAGCTGAGATGGCGCCATTGCACTCCAGCCTGGGTGACAAGAGCGAAACTCCGTCTCAAAAAAAAAGGCTTGTTTTGTTGCCCAACATTTTATTATCCTGGAGAATATTCCAGGATAATAGTCTTCTGTGAGCTGGAGAAGAATGTATTTTGTACTACTGTTGGATGAAATGTTCTGTGTTTTCTACATCCATTTCATCTATATTGTTTTTCAAATTCACTGTTTCTTATTAATATTTTGTCTGGAGATCTAGTCATTGTTGAACCTGTAGTATTGAAGTCTCCTATTACTGTATTGCTTTTTCTTTCAGATCCATTAATATTTGCTTTACTATGAGCTCCCTAAACACTGGTGTACATGTACTTAGAACTTTTATATCTTTTTGGTAAATTGTTCCCTTTATTATTATATAATGACATTTGTCTCTTGTGACTTTTTTTTTTTTTTTTTTTGAGAGAGGGAGTTTTGCCCTTGTTGCCCAGGCTGGAGTGCAATGGCATGATCTTGGCTCATTGCAACCTCCACCTCCTGGGTTCAAGTGATTCTCCTGCTTCAGCCTCCTGAGTATCTGGGATTACAGGCACCCATCACCATTAGAAATGGGGTTTCATCATGTTGGCCAGCCTGGTCTCGAAGTCCTGACCTCAGGTAATCCACTTGCCTCTATCTCCAATAGTGCTGGGATTACAGGCCTGAGCCACTGCACCCGGCTGACAATTTTTGTCTTAAAGTCTGTTTTGTGTGATACAAGAATAGCTGCTCTTGCTCTGTTTTGGTTATCATTTGCGTGGAATAATCTTTTTCTAACCCTTGACATTTAGTCTGTGCTCCTTAAAGTTAAAATGAGTCTCTTGTAGCCAGGAGATAGTTGGACCTTGTTTTGTTTGTTTGTTTTAAATATATTCAGCCATTCTGTGTCTTTTCATTGGGGAATTTAATCCATTTAAAGTAATTGTTGATAGATGATGACTTCTTATTACCATTTAGTTCATTGTTCTCTGGGTTGTTTTGTAGTTCTTTTATTCCTGTCATCTTTTGCAGTCTTCCTTTGTGATTTATGACTTTTTGAATATGTTTGGTTTGCAAGGTGTCTGCCGAGAAATGAATGGGTAGTATGGAGACTGGAGACTCCTATATATGTAGTAAGTCATTTTGTCTTTGACTTTTGACAAGTTGACTATAACGTGTCTCAGTTTAATCTCTTTCAGTTGAACCTTTTTGGGGGTTCATGAATGTGGTATCTCTTTGGGACTTATGAATGTGGGTATCTCTATGTCTCCTCAGATTTGGAAAATTTATAGCTATTCTTTAAATAGGCTTTTTACCAGCTTCTCTCCTCCCTCCGTAACTTCTTTAATGTTGTATATACTTGGCAGAATTCCGCATGTTCTTTAGGCTTTCTTCACTCTTTTTCATTGGTTTTTTCTTTTGTTCCTCTGACTTTAAATATTAATCTATATTTTATTTTGTTGATTCTTCTGCTTGATGACATCTGCTCTTGGACCACTGTAATGAATATTTCAGTTCGGTTATTGTATTCTTCAGCGCCAGTATTTCTATTTTGTTCTCTATCATTTCTGTCTCTGTTGAATTTCTCACTTCATTCATGTATTGTTTTCCTGACCTCATATAGTTATGTACCTCTGCTGTCTTTTAACTGACTGATCTTTAAGATGATTATTATGACTTCCTTCTCAGGTAATTGACATGTCTCCATTTCTTTTTGATTGGCTATTGAATTTTTTTTTTTTTTTTTTTGAGACAGAGTCTCGCTCTGTTGCCAGGCACCAGGCTAGAGTGCAGTGGCACTCTCAGCTCACTGCAACCTCCACCTCCTGGGTTCAAGCAATTCTCCTGCCTCAGCCTCCTGAGTAGCTGGGACTACAGGCACATGCCACCATGCCCAGCTAATTTTTGTATTTTTAATAGAGATGAGGTTTCA